TTGGGAAAACAAATAAGCACATTGGAGATGTCAAACAAAATGACCTGGGAGGGAAGGGGTTCCTTCAAACTGAAGAATCGGTAAAGGCTTCCAGGAAGCTATGGGTCCTAAACTAGGCCTTTGATAAAGAGGGATAATATTAGGTAAAAATGAGACAGAGTCTATCTATTCAAGGACCATGTACCAAAGGTCCACAGGAGGGAAAGGACAGGACAAAATGAGAGAATGATGGGTAAAATAATTTGGTTGGATTATAGAAGGCATGAATACTAAGAAAATAAGACTGGAAAGGGAGATTGGAGCCAGATTCTTCAGGCTCTTGAATGTTAGGCTCAGGATTTTGTGTTATATGAGTCAAGCAGAGGGAAGCCATTGAAGATTTTTGAGAAGAGGACTGTCATACAAAAGAAAGCATAAAACAGTCCCTGCTCTCAAGAAAATTACATACTAATTAGGGAAATAAAGCATACACATTTATTTTTTTTTAAATGAGTTAAATGCTATCATCATATAAAACCATTACATGATAAATGTCAGAAAGAATAGTAAGGATAAGATCATATGTGCTTTGCAAGTTCAGAGGAGGAGTTGATTACTGTAGCTGAAACATTTAGGGAGCAGGGGGCGGGAAGAAAATAGCACCTGTCATGTACCAGTACTTTGATAAGTACTTTTTACAAATATTATCTCATTTGATCCTCATGACAGCTCTTTGAGATTGGGATTATTATTATCCCCACTTCTTAGATGAGGAAACTGAGGCAATCAGAGGCCAAGTGATTGTGCAGGGTCATACAGCTAGTAATCTCTGAGCCCATATTTGAATTCAGGTCTTCCTGATTTCAGACACAACACTCTATCCACTGCCCCATTAACTGCCTTGTCAAGGCAAGTGGGACTTCAGCTGCATTTTTTTTCTTTCTTTTTGAGGCAAACAGAGTTAAGTGACTTGCCACAGTTAGTAAGAGTCTGAGGCCACATTTGAACTCAGGTCCTCCTAACTCCAGAACCAGTGCTCAACGTTAGGTGAATTTCAAAGATGGGTAAGACTTAAAAAGAAACAGAAGATTCAAGACAATATTCTAGGTTTATGGACAGGTTTAGAGACAGTGAAGACAGTGGTCTGACTGAAGCAGAACATTCATGTTAGGTAAGTGGTACATGAGTTTGAAGCACAGATTTGCCCTCTAAGAGTAAGCTGTCCAATAGGGGAGCTATGGCCAAAGGATCACAAGATCATTTGAGTCAAGCTGCAGTGACCCCACATTGTCTAGCATAGGTCTATACCCACAAAACAAGTCATACAAACTCCCATGATTCTAGAACACTAGGTATTTATCACTCTGCTCCTTGTCAAATAATTAGGATTCTTTAGGCTGGAAGGTAAAAAGGGAACAGTTTAATTAAACCTATAAAAGAAGTATGGATAAGGTAAATATGGATTTGTTTGCCCAATTCTCAATGTTAGAATTCCATTCAATTAAATTTAGTTCACCAAATATTTAGTGAGTTCTTTCAGAGAGGTTTCATTGTTCTAAGTGCTGGGACAGATACAAAGTTTAGATAAAAACCACTTAACCTCTCCCAACCTCAGTTTCCTCAACTATAAAATGAGAGGATTGAATATGATGGCCTCTAAGCTTCCTTCCATCTAGAAATTATAATGCCATAAGGCATGGATCTTACCTTTGTGGAACTCATATACAATTACGAGAACAAGATAACATTCACAAATAACTATAATATACAATATTGCAAGGGGCATCATGGCATGGTTGATAGAGAATTATGCTCTTCCAGAGTCAGCAAGACCGGGCTCAAGTCTTGCCTCTGACATATACTTCTTGGTGAGAGAGAGAGAGAGAGAGAGAGAGAGAGAGAGAGAGAGAGAGAGAGAGAGAGAGAGGAATATGAATATATGGAGATATCTATAGAAATAGCTGAAAAGAGGTTAAAACTAATTTGTGGAGAACCATAAACTCAAAACCAAGCCATTTTTGTAGCATCAAGAAGGAAGGAAGGAAGGAAGGAAGAAAGAAAGAAAGAAAGAAAGAAAAAGAAAGAAAGAAAGAAAGAAAGAAAGAAAGAAAGAAAGAAGGAAAGAAAGAAGGAAAGAAAGAAAGGAAAAAGAAAAGAAAGAAGGAAGGAAGGAAAGAAAAAGAAAGACAAAGAAAGTAGATGTTCCTCATTTGGGAAATGGCTAAGTTTCAGTACAAGTATAAGGTCAGAAATTCTTCTTACCCCAATTAATGTAATTGCAGAAGACCTAGGCAATCCAATCCAATCAATCAATCAAAAATAAACTATATACATGGTACAAGGTGTTAGTTTGAATTTAACTTGTGCCAGAATTCTTTCCAATTTTCCCAGCAGCCTGTTTTATCCCCAGCAACTCAAAAAGTCAGACGCTATGGAGTGCCCATTAGAATTGATAGCAGTATCAACCAGAGCTAATAGAAACGTCTCCAGAGAAACAGAGGCTGATAGCAGCATCTGAAAACATGAAGGAAAAGCAGTTTTAGGTCTCAACAAGGGCACCTACCTTTGGAGCCCAGCAGAGAATTATCCCTAAGAGGAATTTCATATAGGGAGAAATAGGACTTCTAGTAACCAGGAGCTTTGGAAACATGAATTCTTTCTAAGTTTGATCTCACTTTCCCAAGGGGCTTTGGGTGTGCAGGGAGATGCTTCTATGGGACATTTTAAGGAGATGGTTCTATAATGATAATCTTCATTATATTTACTTAGTAAATGTTTTTTTTTCCAAAAGCTAATTCACATTGGCTGATGATAAATAGGAAGTACCTCAGTAGGGTCAGTTAGTGACAGTACTAGAAACTCCAGGCACTTAGGATTATCCCTTAAAACCTTTCTAATGGGAGATGTAGCCACTTTCTGGAGATTCAGCCTGCCAATTCAAGTGAGAGATGGGAAAGTAACCCCAAAAGGGGGGTTACACATGAAAGTGACCAGATATTTCTTACACTATTAGAAACAATGAATATGAAGAATACAGGGAGGCATAGGAAGACTTACATAAACTGATGCAAAGTAAACAGAATGAGGAAAATGATGTAAAAAGTGAACTACAACAATGTAAGGGTATAGAACAACCACAACAAAATTTGAAACTGAACATTGTAATTGTAATGAACAAGCTTGGCCCCAAAGAAATGTACTACCCAGCTTTCTTTGCATGGGTAAGGAACTATGTATACAGAATAATGCACATGCCAAATTTGGCTAATATTGCTAATTTAGTCTTTTTTTTTCTTTTTTCTTCTTTGTTATAAGTGGTTTTCTGGGTGGTGAGAAGAAGGATGTATCAAAAATGAAAGTTAGGTAAAGACAGAAGACATTTTTTTCATGCCTTTCTAAGGAGGATGAACTTTTCTTACTAAACAAAGGAGAGCTGCTGAAAATTTTTGAGCAGAATAGTAACATAGACTAGATCTATGTATAAGGAAAGTTAATCTGGCAACAGTATGAAGGACAGATTGGAGAGAAGAAATTGTGTTATAGAGCCTGAGTTTGAATCCTGCCTCTGCCACTTATTGCTTTTGTGATCTTGGGCAAATCACTAAATGTCTCTGGGTCTTGGTTTCCACATCTGTAAAATGATTAAGCTTCGTTGATGACTTCTAAGGGCCCTGAAACCATTCTGAAACTATGATCTTGTGTTTCTAGTTATTCTTCATCAGTCTCCATTTCTAGTTCTTTACTCTCTTTCTGACTTCGTAAGATGGGTGTTTCCCGGGTTTTTTCCTTGGTCATCTTTTCTTTTTCTACACCCACTCCTTTGGCAATTTTATTCACTACCACAACTTTAAATATTCCCTTTATATAGATGCCTGCCCCTCCATGGGCATTTGACAATGATATACCCATTATTCAAGACTCTTAACACTGCTACCTATGCTAGATAGTGCTGGGAATAGAGTGCTAGGCCTGGAATCAGGAAGACTCACCTTCCTGAGTTCAAATCTAGCCTCAGACACTTACTAGCCATGTGACCCTGAATAGGTCTATACCTTAAACTTTTATTCTAGATATATCCTTCTTCTCACTGCCCAGAAAACCACTTATGACAAAGGAAAAAAAAGGGAAAAAAAAGTAATTTAGCAATATTAGCCAAATCTGGCACATGCATTATTCTACATACATAGTTCTTTACCCATGCAAAGAATGCTGGGTAGTACATTGTCATGCCTTTTCTTTGGGTCCAAGCTTGGTCATTACAATTACAGCGTTCAGTTTCAAATTTTGTTGTGGTGGTTCTATACCCTTACATTGTTGTAGTTCACTTTTTACATCATTTTCCTCATTCTGTTTACTTTGCATCAGTTTATGTTTGTGTCAGCTTCTTCATCTGTGAAATGAGCTGAACAAGGAAATGGCAAACCTCTTCAGGGTCTCTGCCAAAAAACCTCAAATGGGGTCACAAAGACTCTGATGTGACTTAAAAGCAACTGAACAACCTTGTAACGAGTGGAGGCTTACACAGGAAGATACAGACTTAATGTCTAATATTCTTCCAATGGTCATAAATTGCATTTGTGTCCAAGGCAATTTTAGGAAAGGCTCCAATTTTAGCAATAAAAAGAAAAACTGATATCACACTCTTTGGGCAATGAATACAGGTATAACAAATCTATTTAATTTTTCTTATTTCAAACTACTCACATCTTATTTTAGAGGACATTTGTGGGGCAATACATATGATCTATATTCAACTGGGCAAAATTCAGTGGAATTCAGACTGCATTTCTACTCCACTAGCTCCCCATCCCTTTTCTCCAAGATATTAATCAGTAAACATCAGAATACCACTAGTCATGTACAATATAAATTTCCATTCTTTCTCCAGTCTTCTTTCACAATATCTTGCAACGCACGCACTCATATAAGTTACAGTCAGCCATTTGGGAGAATGATAACATCTCAAGACATTTTTGGTTCTTGTTTTTGTTTATTTTGTTATTTTTTTTTTCAGCAAAAGAGAAATTAAAATGAAGAAGAAAGACAGTACGAAAGTATGGCCATTCAAGTATGATCAACTTCTCCACATAGAAGACAATGATTTTGCAATGAGGCCTGGATTTGGAGGTAAGCAAAGCTTTGAGGCACCACTATACGTGAAAGCCAATTTCCTCCTCAAGCATTCCTCAATGTGGCACTAGCATAAATAGAAATGGAAAGTTGGAGCAAGAGTGAAAGATGAAAAACTGGCTCTGAAGCAGATTTTTTTCTTAAATGATAATAATTCACATTTTATCTTAACTCACGTTCACATAGCACTTTAAAGTTTTTTCTCCCCAACAACCTTGAGAGGTAGACAGTACAAGCATTATTGTTCCCATTTTACAGAGAAGAAAGCAGACATACCAAGAATTTCTGTCTTGCATAATTCCATCTTAAACTAAAAAAATAAATTCTCATCTTTTGACCATGCTTTGTCTATAGATAAGACCATATTACTCCTGAAGGTGAAATTGCAATGTGAGATAAAATTGGCAATTGGTACAGAATATTTTAAAAAATGTTTGATTTTCTAAAATCCTACTTCCTACGTTATTGTGTTGTGCAGATGACCTTGCGTTCTCAAAAATTAAAGCCAGCAGAGCATGAGCTCCCACAGGCTCTGCTACACTCAGAGGGCTTTGAGTCCAGGCTTGCCTCTGGTTTGTGTCAGCCATTTTTGTGTACAGCAAAACACTTCTTAAGAGAACTATACAAGTACAAAACATGGTGAAAACTCATCAACATAAAGTTAAATGAAGCATAATCATGAAAAATCCCAAGTGAGACTAATTTTAAGTAATTTTTTAGGCTTGCTATTGAACTAGTGATGACCAAGTGTGAAGTAGGGAGCATTGCTTTATTTTCAGTTGGAATGCCTATTTTACATATGTGTGTGTGTATACATGTGTATATACACATATAAATATGCATATATACACATATATAAATATACATAAATTTTTGATATTGATTTATCCTCAATCACTTTCACATGTATCTCATAAGCCTTGTCATGATTCTTAAGCCTTTCAGATATTTTTAAAACTTTTGTAAAGTAACTTGATATAAGGACTATTATTTGAGTTACTTTCTTTTTTCATGAATTTTTTTTCAAATTACATGTAAAAACAATTTTTAGCATTCATTTTTTAAAATTTTGAGTTCCAAATTCTTTCTCCCTCCCCCATCCCTGAGAAGGCAAACAATTTGATGAAGACTATAAATGTGCAGTCATGCAAAACACATTTCCATATTAGCCATGTTACAAACAAAAACACAGACCAAAAGAAAAAACACCAAAGAAAAATAAAAAGAAAGCTTTAGAAAGTATGATTCAATCAGTATTCAGATTCCATCAATTCTTTCTTTGGAGGTAGATAGCATTTTTCATCATAAGTCCTACGGAATTGCTGAAATAACTAAGTCAGTCTTAGTTGATCATTGTACAATATTGCTCTTACTGGGAAAAATGTTCTCTGGTTCTGCTCACTTCACTTTCCAAGTTTTTCTGAAAGCACCTTGCTCGCCATTTTATGTAGCACAGTAGCATTCCATCACAATCATATGCCTCAACTTGTTCAGCTACTCTCCAGTTGATGGGCATCCCCTCAATTTCTTTACCACCACAAAAAGAGCTGCTATAAAGATTTTCATATATCTCTTTCCTAAATCTCTTTGGGATACAGACCTAGTAGTGGTATACCTGGGTCAAAGGGAATTTGAATTACTTTCAAAATTTTGTAACTTTGAAATAAACACCTACTTTGGTTTTGTTTTCAAGTTAATTTTGCTATGCTGTAAACACACTGCCTAGCTAAGTTTGGATAGATCCATTGCTATCTGATGATGATTTGGAGAAGAGGATGGAGAAGAAAAGGGAACAAGCATTTATTAAACACTTTCTAAGTGCCAGGCACTGTGCTAGCACTTTACTAATATCATGTCATGTAATCCTCACAACAACCCTGTGACATAGGTACTTTTTGTTATCCTCATCTATTATCCCCATCGTTATCCCCATTTTACAATAAGGACAACTGAGGCAGGAAGAGGTTAAATGACTTGCCCAGGGTCATCCAGCTAATAAGTATCTGAGGCTGGATTTGAAATTAGGTCATCCTGACTCTACTTTCAATACTCTATCCACTGTTATAACCAACTGCCTCAAAAGCAAGCTGTTAATCAATCTACCAAAACACAGAAGGGCTGGATTTTGCATCAGTAGTACCTATACCAATGAATTCACAAATCCTTGAAGTAAATAAATATTCGTAGTTGAACTTTGTTGCCAGTGCCATTATTTGTAGGACAATCATTTGTCAAATGCCATTGCTGCCCAAGGACTGAGTTTTTTTCTCCCTTTGGCAGCCTGATGAAACCTACATACACCTTCACAGAATAATGTCTTTTACAAAGCAAGAACATTTCCATACAAAGTGGGTCAGAAAAAAAAAAGATTATGTATGAAAATATGAAAATTTATTATTACACAGTTTGATTTTTAAAAATATAATAAATTAAACATTTTTTAAAAGAATGTCTTTTAATGTATAAAACAACACATAGGGTTACAAGAAATAGTTATCAAAATATTTTTAAAAACAACCAGGTTAAGAACTCCTGCTTTAATTTAAAGGCACCTACCTATTTGCAATTTCATATAGAATCCTCTTTTTTTGCTCTGCTCTGTGCATGAAAATGCTCCTTTTCTGCTGTTTGGATACAGAATTATTTTTTAAAGGACCTCCTATTTGTAATGAATGAGAGCTAAACCCTGACTAAAGACCAAAAAAAAAAGAAATATATGACCTCTCAAAGTTTCTTCACTCTCTATGAATTTCTGAAGTGAACATGATCACATGTGGAGAGAGAAATAGGATTTTTTTTTTGCAGGGGCACAATGAAGATATAGAACTAGCTGGTAAATAAATCCAGGTCCCCCGCTTCATTTTTCAGGCTCCCTGAAGGAAGGGGGGACCCACCATGCTTGCTCCTGTTCCACTCACACTCCCAGACTGCTTGAACTGTTAACTGCTCTTTTAATGTTGTTTAGAAACATGAGTTTAAGGGATGTGGGAGAAAGGGTTTTCCTGCAATTAAACAAGCACAGCTGCATCTGTAATCATAATCATGGAGCCTGTGGGAGGGAGGAAGCTTATAACTTTTCAGTAAAGCTGTTGTCATGGTTACAGTTTTGGGCCAGTAAAGGATAGCAGGCAGATGGGCACAATATAGGACGCATTTGCTCATATGCTTTAGCATATAATCCATTCAACGTGGTTCAATGGAAAGAATGCTGGGTTTGTAATCAGAGGACTTGGATTTGGTTCCTGGCTCTGTTATTGACTACCTCTATGACTTTGGAGAAGTTACTTTCCCTCTCTGGGCTTTAATTTCCTCATCTGTAAAATGGGGAGCCTGGACCAGATGACCTCTGAGGTTCTTTCCAGCTCTAAATCTATAATCTTAAATCCAATTGCTGGTGGGTATGATGAAAAGTATGCCTGTGACCATTAAGTTACATTTAAAATTTTTCCCAGACTCCACATGGACCCCAGATTCTCAGCTTTATTTTAATAGCTGTGCAAATTAGAGCATAACTAGGCAGAAGGTTTTTTGCTTTATTTTGATTTGGTTTAGGGTTTTTTTGTTTTGTTTTTTGTTTTTGTGTTTTGCTGTTCTGGAGCCCTGAAGCTGTCTCGTTTAAAGATCCTGGAACCCTTTAAATTGAGCAATAAGGAGAAACTGCAAAGAAGCAGATTTCAGCTTCCTCCCAATGGATGGTGTGATCATAAGGCTCTGGACTTGAAGTCAGGAAGACCTGAGTTCGAATGTGACCTGAGACACTTATTAGCTGTGTGACCCTGTACAAGTCACTTACTTAATTTCTGTCTAACTCAGTTTCCTCAAGGAAAAATGAGGATAATAATAGCACCTACCTCCCAGGGTTAGGATAACATGAGACAATATTTATAAAGTACCTGGGACATAGTAATAGTAAGTGCCTAATAAATGTCACTTAACTAATGTGAAAAATATGTTTAATATGAATGTATAAGTAGAGTTATATCAGATTGCACACCACCTTGGGGAGGGAGAAGGAGAAAGAGGGGGAGAAAATTTAAAACTCAAAATCTTATGGAAGTGAGTGTTGAAAACTAAAAGTAAATTAATTAATTATTAAAAACAAAACAAAAAAATAAATGTCAGTTCAATTTTTAAAAGAATTTCTAACAATTAGAGAGATCTCAAACTGGAAGGGGTTATCTCAGGAGACAGGGGGTTTACCCCCAATGACGTCTTCAAGCAAAGGCTGGATGACCACATGCCAGGCATTTGTTTAAAGGGGATTCTTATTCAGGTAGGAGTTGGACTAGATGGTCTCTAAAGTCCCTTCCAACTCAGAGATTTTATAACGTTAGGGCTAGAAGGGACCTTAGCGACTATCTCATCCATCTACCTCTTATCTCTCATTTTTATAGAGAAGGAAATCACGTATTAGAGAAGGTAAGTGACTTTGAAAAGTTACAGCTAGCACGTCAGAGCCAAGACTTAAGCCTAGGTCCTCTGGTTCCCAATCCCTTCTCAATACTTTATGTTGCCTCTCTGAGTTGTACGTGGAATTTTTTTTTTAAGTTTTGGAAACTGGGTTTCCCTGTGTCACTCAGGTTAGACATGCAGCAGCCATTCACAGGAATGATCCTACTACTATTTAGCATGGTTCAGATTGGGGCTGTTTGACCAAAAATATGCTGGAGTCAGTTAGTACAGGCTAGAGCTGATTGTTAAATTTTCAGTGTGAACATTTACATCTCAGAAATCCTCAAACTTTACAAATCAGGGCTTGATTTATTGTCCTGCTGATTGACTCAACTCAAGAAAGTGATGGAGAAAATTTTAGTAACGCAGATAAAATTTAAATATGCTGTTCAGGGGCAGCTAGGTGGCGTAGTGGATAGAGCACTGGCCCTAAAGTCAGGAGGACCTGAGTTCAAATCCGGCCCTAGACCAAACACTTGACACTTACTAGCTGTGTGACCCTGAGCAAGTTGCTCAACTCCAATTGCCTAAAATAAATAATAAAT